GGTGTCTCGGTGGGGCTCAGAGAGAGCGTGGTTCCAGCTGGGGCTGGCAGTCACCTGTGCTCAGGAGGGACCAGGGGACCAGTCTGGCAGACTTGAGCAGGAGACCAAAGGAATCTGGAACCCTTGATCAGATCAAGGTGGGTCTTACTCTTAGGTCCAGTGTTTGTCACAACATAACACAGGGCTGTGGCAGTGGGAGAGTGAGGATCATCGGGTCAGAGCATTTGGGCCTGTTGCCCTCCTTAGAGAAGTCACTTGTGCAATTCTGTGAGTTCCTTTAGAACTGTGATGTTGGATGTGGGGACTTCTCAAAGTCGCCAGAATAAAATGTACAACGTGGGTAGTGACTGAGAGCTGGCTGTTGGAGTTGCTGATCAACTTTTCCCCTACATTTTGCAGGGCTGGGGGGACACAATTAGGTGTTCATTTAAAGGCTGGGTGGAGAAGCAGCAGGGTGATTGCACGGCTGGAAGGATGGGTGGGTGTGAGAGAAGGTGGATGGATGGATGGTGGGGATGAGAATGGATGGCTGAATCAGGCCAATGAACAGACGATGCTTGGCTGTCAGCGGGACAGTGAGTGGACAGGGTGGTTAGACGGAAGGGGAGGTATCTTTCCCTGCTCACTGCTTGTCGTCCTTTGTTTTCAGCTTCGGGCCGCAGAGGTGGAGATCAAGGACCTGCAGTCCGAGTTTCAGCTGGAGAAGATCGATTACTTGGCCACCATCCGCCGGCAGGAGCGTGACTCCATGCTCTTGCAGCAGCTGCTGGAGCAGGTGCAGCCCCTGATTCGCAGGGACTGTAACTACAGCAACCTTGAGAAGATTCGGCGTGAGTCCTGCTGGGATGAAGATAACGGCTTCTGGAAGATCCCACAGCCCGCTGTCATCAAAACCAGCCTCCCAGTAGGTCAGGAGCTTGGCTGGCCCTTGCCCTCCCCACCCTCCTTCACAGTTCACCATCCTGCAGACTGGCAGGGAGTGTGGGCCTCTCCTTGCAGTCTGTGGGTATAGCAGACACGTGACTCTGGGTAGCTGACACATCAGGACTCTGAGAAAGCAGTGTGTTCTGGAGGCAGACAGATGTGGGTTGGAATTCTGGCAGCACCATTTCCTATGTGACCTTTTTGGGACTTGGTGTCCTCATCCATGAAATGGGGGTGAATAACAGCACCTCTCTTAAAGTTGCTGTGAGGCTTGGAATGTGTTAATAGGCCAGGTGCAGTGGCTCATGCCTGTAATCACTTTGGGAGGCTGAAGCTGGTGGATCACTTGAATCTAGGAGTTTGAGACCAGCCTGGCCAACATGGTGAAACCCTGTTTTTAAAAAAGAATACAAAAATTAGCCAGACGTCTAATGTGGTGAAACCCAGTCTCTACTAAAAATATAGAAATTAGCCGGGCGTGGTGGTGGGCGCCTGTAATCCCAATCACTTGGGAAGCTGAGGCAGAAGAATCGCTTGAAGCCGGGAGGCGGAGGTTACAGTGAGCCCAGATTGTGCCATTGTACTCCAGCCTGGGCAACAGAGTGAGACTCTGTCTCAAAAATTTAGACAGGCATGGTGGTGCATACCTGTAGTCCCAGCTACTTGGGGGACTGAGGCCGGAGGATCGCTTGAGCTCAGGAAGTCAAGGCTGCAGTGAGCAAAGATCGTGCCCCTGCACTCCAGCTTGGGTGACAAAGTGAGACCCTGTCTCAAAACAAATAACCACCCCCCCAAAACCCAGAAGTGTATTAATACACATAAAACCCTTAGAGCAGTGCCTGGCACATAGTGAGTGCTTACTATGTTGGCATTACCCTAATCAGCATGGTCACTGCTTCATCCGTACAACAGCCCTGAGAAGGACTGTTGTAAGGTTTTCTACCCATTTCACATATGAGGACGCAATCTCAGAGGGTCCAGAGTCACGGTCACAGCAGTGAGTGGGAGGACCATTGGTCGAAACCCACAGTTCAGAGTTTTATGCCTGGTTCAACTTCCACTCTTTCTGCTGACCTCCTGTGTGACCTTACAAAGATCACTGTCCCTCTCTGGGCTTCTTTACAAAGAATGGATTGGATAAGATGACCCTGAAGGCCTTCTCACTTCTGATGAGTCTCAGAGTAAAGCCAGGCATGCTGTGGCTTTCTCCAGCCACGGAGCTGGGTCTGCCCATGTGGGGAGCCCACAGTGCCAGCCAGGAGTCCTCCCTCTTGGTCAGAGTGTTCATCCAGGTCCAAAATCTTGGATGTTTATAGATGGCATTGACACCCTCCCTGCTGAGACCCCAGCCTGCTCCATTTCCCATATGCTCTGGGATGTAGCAGCCTTCCTGTCTGTCTCCACCCTTGCCACGGGCTTCCAAGTCCCTCGCCTGCTGTCTTGCCTGGAGGCTTCTCCGGTATCTGAGCCCCTCTTGCTGTTTCTTAAAATCCTCCCTTGGCTTGGGCTGGGAAGTGTCCTCCCTGTTGAAGCTTGAGCCAGGCCTGACCCCCACCTCCACCCCTGCCCTCTTCTGGGCCTCGCACCAGGCAGCAGTGACTTCAGCTTTTGTTTTCTCATAGCAGTTTCAACTGGGCCACAGAATAAACCAGCCCACAAAACCTCTGCAGCAGACAACAGCGAGCAGAACATGGTGAGGACCCTGGGAGAGGGAGTGTGGCGTTGGGGATGGGAGGGCTTTGCCTGCAGTGCCATGGGTCAGCACTACTGCAGAGAGCTGGTCTTCTACTTTCCTCCCACCTAAGGATTAAAGAAGGGGCCAAGGCTGGATCCTTTTCATGTCCCTCCATTGGCACCTAGACCCTCAACCCCCTCTGGCGCTGATTCAAAGGCACTCACAGTCATAAAGACCGTTCCGGGTGGCCCATCTTGCCGGTGAAGGACAGAGGCTTCAGCCTCAAACCCAGAGGACAAGCAGCACATTCCGGTTTCCTGGGCCCCAGCTGGTATCCTCAGACCAAAGGGGTCCTCAGAGGGTTCATGAAGCAGTAATTGAGATTCCTGTCACTTTATTTTCCTCTCTCTCATATTCTTTTTTTTTCTTTTTCTAAGCGCAGTGGCAAGAACCTGTCTCCTATATTTTGTGGTGCAACAGAAATGCATGTTATTAAAGCAGGGGTGTTTTCTTTTTTTATTTTTGGAGACAGGGTTTCACTTCATCACCCAGTCTGGAGTGCAGTGGCATGATCTTGGCTCACTGCAACCTTCACCTCCTGGGTTCAAGTGGTTCTCGTGCCTCAGCCTTCTGAGTAGCTGAGATTACAGGCACCCGCCTCCATGCCTGACTAATTTCTGTATTTTTAGTAGAAACAGGGTTTTACTACATTGGCCAGGCTGGTCTCAAACTCCTGGCCTCATGATCTGCCTGCCTTGGACTCCCAAAGTATTGGGATTATAGGCATGAGCCACTGTGCCCAGCCAAGCAGAGGTATTTTCAGGGAAACTCTTCTAATTTGTTAACTTAGCTGGGAGCTGCTGTCCCCAGCAGCCACAAAAGGCTTCGACAGAAGGGCACCAGCAGGGGTCCACTTGGCATGGCCTGGTCATCAAGGGCTGGATTGCAGGCACAGCTTCCACGACACAAGCCCATGAACAATGATGTGAAAGTTGTTATTTACAGAGCCTCAGGGTAGGCAGAGCCACCAGAGAGGGACCCAGGCAGCTGGACCCCCTGCTGGTGTCCTTGTGTCAGGGCCTCTGGCAGCTGCTGGGGACAGTAGCTACAAGCTAAGTTAATAGAGAAACTCAGAGTTTTGTTCAAAACAAGGGGTCAGCAAACTTTTTCTCCAAAGGACCTGACCCTAAATATTTTGGGCTTTGTGAACCACATGGTTTCTGTCACAGCCACTCAACTCTGCCACTGTAGCACAAAACAGCCCCAGGTAATACACAAATGAATGGTGTTTCAATAAAACTTTATTTACAAAAACAGTCTGCAGGCCAGATTTGGTCTGTTTGCCATAATTAGTTGATTCTACCTTAAGCCATTACAAACATTTCAGAAAACCCCCGTAGAATATACCTTTATAGTTATGATAAGGCCACTCCTAGGCCAATGAATTCCAACCAAACATCTCTGGCTGAGCAACTCAGGCTGCAAGGGGCCACTCATGCTGGTCTAAAGTTTGACTGGCAGCTTCTCAAAAAAGGGCAAGTTGCTGCCAGGAAAAAAGACATTCTTAATTTGGGACCACAAAGAGGTTATGTCAGAATGCTTTCAGCTCCAAGTGATAGGGAGATGCCAAAGCAAACAATCGTGAGAAAAATAGGGAATTTTTTAGTTCATGTAAATGGACCAGTTTCAGGCATGGCTGGATCTAGGGGCTGAAACAGTTGGGGTCTGTGTCTGTCTTCACCTCTTGTTCCTTCTTCCCTTGGTATGCTAGCTGCAGGCTTTCTCCATATGGCTGGGAGGATGGCTGCTAGCGATTGGTGATCCAAAAGGAAGAGAGGCCTGGTTTGTTAAAGCAACTGTCCCCAGTCGTTTTGGCACCAGGGACCAGTTTCGTGGAAGACAATTTTCCCACAGACTGGGACAGCTAGGGGGTCGGATAGTTTGAGGATGATTCAAGTGCATTACATTTAATGTGGACTTCATTTCTATTAGTATTACATTGTAATATGAAATGAAATAATGATACAACTCACCATAATGTAGAATCAGTGGGAGCTCTGTGTTTTTCTGCAACTAGATGGCCCCATCTTGGGGTGATGGGAGGCAGTGACATGATCAGGCATTAGATTCTCATAAGGAGCATGCAACCTGGGTTCCTCACATGCACGTTCATAATAGGGTTCCCGCTCCTCTGAGAATCTGATGCCGCTGCTGATCTGACAGGAGGCAGAGCTCAGGCAATAACTGGAGTGATGGGGAGCAGCTGTAAATACAGACAAAGCTTCACTTGCTCACCTGTTGCTCACTTCCTGCTGTGCAGCCCAGTTCCTAACAGGCCATGGACTGGTACCAGTCCATGGCCTGGGGTTGCAGACCATTGTCTTAAAGAATCCTTAAACTACAGCTTGGGGAGAGATTCCGATTGGCTCTGCCTGGGTCATGGGCCTACTCTTGGACCAATTACTGTGTTTAGGAAGATGTGGTTCTGTGATTGGTGCAGTCTGGGTCACATGTCCAGCTGTGTAGCAAGCGGCTGGGAGTCCCACATAGTATTGGGTACTATGAATGCTCACTCCACTGGAACCATCAAGTGGGAGGACAATTCCCTGAAAAAGGAGATTTAGACTGAAGAAAACAAGTTCCATGATAGTGGTGAAAAATAATAGCCCTTGGTGATAAAAAGATTAGGATTCCAGTTCTGATGATCACAAATGCACCTGGGAGCCAAGGAACGTATCGTATTGCCTGTTCTATGAGCACGTCGTGATAGATTTGGGGTTTGTGCATCACCCTGGCCCCTGTGGGAACTGGCAGGACACCCTGTTTTGAGCTTTGTAGGATGGAATAAGGCCCTTCCCATCTCAAGGAAGGGGGGGTCAGGTGCAGGCTTGGCTACAGACTGTGACTCCCCGGCCAGAGCGGCCTGGGATCCCACCCATGAGTCCAGGGTCTATGGTGTGGGATGCACCAGAGTGGGCAGAGCCTGCTCCAGCCCTGTGACAACCTGGAGGCGGCTTGGGGTAGCCCCCACTGCCCCAGGATGCCAGAGGCTGCTGAGCCCTGTGCCAGGGGCACAAACGAGGGGGGTGACCGTGGGCATCTGCATCTCAGCAGGAGGAGGACCGCTACAGACTCATGCTCAGTCGGAGCAACAGTGAAAACATCGCCAGCAACTACTTCCGGTCTAAGCGGGCCAGCCAGATCCTCAACACGGACGCCAGGAAGAGCCTCAGTGAGTATCCCTCATTCACTGAAGGGACAGTGAGGGGACAGCCCCTCCCCTGCCCCCACCCTCTCCACATAGGTGGGAGAGGCATGAAGGGGGTGGTTTGGAAGTCAGACCTGGGTTCAGAAATTCCTTTCCCTCTCGGAGCCTCAGTTTCCTTAGCTACAAAATGAGGAGGGTAACACCAGCTTCTCAGGATTAGGTGAGACGAGGTGCAGAAACGCCCAGCCCGGGGCCTGGTGTTCAATACAGAGTCTCCTCTTTGCTCCACCCCTGTCTCCCCTGGCACTCAGTGCATGGCTCAGGGGCCTGGCTGGGGATGCCTGGGTTTAGTTCTCACTAGTTACACGCCAGCTTCCTGGCAAGTCACACACCAGCATTGTGACTTCTTCCACATGAAGACTGACTTCACTTATCAAGGGCCATAAATGCAAAACACGCTTTTAAAACTTAAGCATTACTTCATTTTCTGTGCTTTTAAACTGAAAGCAAAGCCCACAGAGCTTCCAATAAAATAGCAATAAAAAGCAAATCTTGGTCAGGCAAGGTAGCTGATGGCTATAATCCCAGCACTTTGACAAGCTGAGGCGGGTGGATCACTTGAGGCCAGGAGTTCAAGACCAGCCTGGCCAACATGGGGAAACCCTGTCTCTACTAAAAATACAAAATTAGCCAGTCTGTAGTGGCACGTGCCTGTAGTCCCAGCTACTTGGGAGGCTGAGGCAGGAGAATAGCTTGAACCCAGGAGGCAGAGGTTGCAGTGACCTGAGACTGTGCCACTGCACTCCAGCCTGGGTGACAGTGAGACTTTGTCTCAAAAAAAGAGTAAATTTTAGTTCCATATATTGAGGTTATTTAGGAGATAGAATGGGTAGAGTTGAGGAATGGGGGGCGGAGTAGAAATAGGATTAATTGAGTGCCTAATTGAATGCCTAATTAAATAGGATTAATTGTGCCCATGTAGCAGATGAGGAAACTGAGGCTCAGAGATGAAGCAGCTTCTCTGAGGTAATAGGAAGCAGTGGAGCTGGGCTTTGAACCCAGGCTTGCCTGGCTTGAGATCAGGCTTTGGGAAGCCCCAACTCCCAGCCCAGCCCCTTTGGATGCCAACATAGTTGCTTGGTGTCAGACCTCAGCCAGAGCAGCTTCGCAGAGCCTGGAGTCCCAGCTGCTGGGCAGGAGGGAGGGAGTGGGGCGGGCCAGGCTCCCCACCCTCCCCACTGGGGCGTTTTCTCTCCATCCCCGCTCTCCTGACTTACCAGCACCTCTGCCCCTCTTCTCCACAGCATATCACAACTCGCCACCAGGCCTCGGCTGCCCACTCAGCAACAACCCTGCCATCCCCCCTACTCAGGCCCCTGAAATGCCCCAGCCCCGGCCCTTTCGCCTCGAGTCCCTCGACATCCCTTTCACCAAGGCCAAGCGTAAGAAAAGCAAAAACAACTTTGGCAGTGAGCCTCTGTGAGCACAGCTGCCCGCCGTTGCCTGCCTTATAGGCTTCTAGAGACTGCCAGGCCCTCCCAGGGCAGCCCCAGCCAGGCCTCCCCCCGACCCCCCACACAGTGCTCTGGGGCCCGAGGGCTCCCTTAGCCCTGGGAAGACACATTGCCTTCCCTGTTCCCCAGAGAGCCCACCTGTGCCTGGGGCAGGAGCCCCTTGGAGGCTGGACTGTCCTCCTTAGAGAGGCCTGCACCATGTCAGTGTTTCTGTCTGCTCACCTGCCACTGAGCCCACCACCCATGCCCACCAGTGTTGGCCTTTGCCTCAAAGCCTCGGAGCTGCTTCATGGCCTTCACCAGCCCTGATGCAGTGGGCAGCAACTGCCATGTGAAGGAAGCTCAGTATCAGCTGGGAAGGAACTGTGCCTCTGTCTGACCGTCCCCACTTCCTGAGAACTGCCTCGCCCCGTGGGGTGGCACAGGGGTCCCACAGCAGCTCTTCCTGCACTGCCCACCCCTGGCTGGACTGTGGCCCAGGGAAGGCGACTCCACATTAAACTGACCAATAAACTGCTTTTAAGACAAGCTCCCCTTCTCTTACCCTCTGACAGTGTCACTTGGGGCCCCTCCCTGCCATTGTGGCCTGGCTGCCCCAGGGAAGCTCTTTCTGGAACAAGGGTCCTTTGCCTGGGACCTCCAGGGTTTCTGCAGCTCCCTGCAATTGTGAGTACATTCTTCTGGGAAGAGTTTCTGGATTTTCATTAGATTCTCGAAGGATCTGTGACCCAGGAAAGCAGACCCCTCGCTGTGGAAAATAGGGCCATGTCTCCCTGAGGTCAGAAAAGGGCCCAGGTTTTGACAGTCCTGGGGGCTGTGCTGGGACTGGGTGTCCTGACATAACCAGAAATGAAATCAGGCCACCCTGTTTGTGCCCACATAGGGGGCTACCTAGGACACAGCCCTCCCCTTGCCCACAGTATCCCAGGCCTGTCCTGTGGGGGCACCCCACTATCTAAGGGAAAAGGCTTGGCCTTTGGCACAGTCCTGGAACCTCATTTCACTCTGAGCCTCATCTGTGAAATGGGGATAACGCTCGCCTCATAGGGTTAATGTGAAGATTAATGAGATAGGATGTAAAGCTCCTGGGGCATAGCAGGTCTCTGTGTTAGTCTTCCTCCTCCCTATTTCGTATCAGTTTCCACAAGCCATATGCCTGGGCCAAGGAGCTCACACTCTTGAGAAGCTGGGGTGGGGGTGCTTGGACAACCATAGAGATGTCTAGCCAGAGGCAGGCGGCAGTGCGTCCTGAGTCAGAGCAGGTGAGATCAGGACTTTAAAAAATTATTATTTTTTTGAGAGAGTCTCGCTCTGTTGCCCAGGCTGGAGCACAGCTGTTCAGAGGTTTAAGATGGGGGTGTAAGGAGGGCGCTCCTGGTGGAGAGCACTGCAAAGCAAAAGGCAGGAGGTGTGGAACTCAGGGTGTTAAAGGCTGGGCCATTCCTGTTCCATGGAAGCCCTGAGCAAGGACTGAGAGGGGATGAGGCTGCTGAGATGAGTGGAGGTGGAGACCTGAGAGCGAAGAGCCCTGGGGTATCCCTGAGCTGTGACAGACTCCTAAAAAGTTTAACACCATTGGCTCTGAATTAGAGGTGGGTGGATGTGGTACTGTGTCGAGGGTGGAAGGGCTAGTCTTGGGAGCAGGTATTAGGGTGCAGGAGCCAGGGGCCAGAGGCTTAACTTGGGGTGGAGCCAGTGGGAATGGAGAGCAAGTCGAGTAGTTAAGAAGATGCATGGAGGGAGGTTTTGATTTTTGCCCCATTCTTGGGTTGGTGGACACGTGTCAGAAAGGAACTGCTACCTTCTCTCTACAATTGCTGTCACCATTGGCCTGAGGATTGTGGTTGGGACACAGAGGACAGTGGAAGCCTTGAAGCTGCGTGTGGTAGTTTTTACTTAGACCCTTGGTGGACAAAGGCAGCTCTGAGGTGACCGGGGTGGCTTCTGTATTAACGTAAAGAGGTGAGAGCCCAGGTTACTGGATGGATGTTCAGTCTGGCCCGGCGCTAAGTGCTTCAAAATCTGCCTTGTTCCTCCCAAGAGCCCAGAGGTGAGATAATTAGATGGCTGTTCCTAAGGCATACAGATATGCAGCGGAGCTGAACCTCGTCCTTAGCCCTGTTTACAGCCAGGGAAACCGTCCTGGAGAGAAGTGCAATGCCCGAGTAACAGCTAGTGAGGGATGCAGCTTGGAAATTGAACCATTGCTAGGCCAGTCCACTGCCCATCCACAGTCTCCAGCGTGGGCCACCGAGCTGGGCAGGACCGGGCAGGCCCATCCGTGCCATGGCCCCTGGAGCCGCGAGCGGCAGGGACGAGGCTCCAAGTGCCCTGGCCCTGATCTTATTCTTCCAACCCCTCCTCCCTAGAGATGGTGGGGGTGAGGCCCAGTTTCTGGCCCCGAGCCTTCCCAGGCCCAGCGAAGATCCCGCCAGCGAGGAGATGGCTCCACCCCCTGTCCAGGACGCGACGATCAAGCCTAGGGAAGACACACTTCAGCCGGAAGCGGGCTCCGGACTAGGGGCGGGAGGCCGGCCTGGGCGTCCCAAAGGGCGCTCGACCTCGTTGATTGGCCGAGGCTGCAGAGCTGTCTCTCTAGGATTGAGCCTTTTCTTTAGGGAGGCGGGGCCTTGATCCACTCCCACCAATACGGTTCAAGGTATCCGCCACCCACCAGGACACTTCCGGTGGTGCTCTCTGCTCCCTACTATCAAAGCTCCGGCTCTGGAGGCCCAGCTCCGTCGTATGCCTATCACTTCCGGGTGGTGCTCCACGGCCACGAGCCGCGATTGGGCTACCGTAGACGGGGTACTTCCGGTGTCCAGGTGCTGGGTTCTTTGGCAGGAGGAGGAAGATGGAGCCCAGCACCGCGGCCCGGGCTTGGGCCCACTTTTGGCTGCTGCTGCCGTTGCTTGGCGCAGTTTGCGCTAGCGGACCCCGCACCTTAGTGCTGCTGGACAACCTCAACCTGCGGGAGACTCATTCGCTTTTCTTCCGGAGTCTGAAGGGTGAGAGCGGGGTCCGAGGGGGCGGCGTGTGGGGGCCTGGGGTTGGAACGGCATCGAGGGCATTGACCACTCTCCCTCCCACTCCCTTTCCGGGAGCAGGTCGCCCAGGTCTGGCCTGCCGCTTGGGGTGCGGGTCCGCGATGTCTGCAGCAGGGGTTTCCCTTCGCATCCAATCTTCCTCAACTACCTGTGTTTTTCTTGTCCAGACCGGGGCTTTGAGCTCACATTCAAGACCGCTGATGACCCCAGCCTCTCTCTCATTAAGTATGGGGAATTCCTCTATGACAATCTCATCATTTTCTCCCCCTCGGTAGAAGGTAAGGGCTCCACGTCGCACCTAGCACTGGGATTCGAGACCTGGGACTGATGGGTTGCTTTCTTCTGGTTCTTGGCATGTCCTGGGTCATAGGATGGGTTGCCACTCCTGAGCGCTGCTACCAGAGAAGAGGAAAATGTTAATTTCTGACCTGAGCCCAGTAGGGGACATCTTTCTAAAAGACACAGCTAAGGATTGTGGGGTTAAGTGTTGCTGTAGACCATGGAACCCAGGGCCCTGCTGCTCTACTGAGAAGGGAGTTTACTCTGTAAAGGGCCTGATAGAAAGATGGAAAGCTCCTGGGTTGGGTTTGCCTGGGTGGAAAAAGGAAATGGCCTGTTATTAATATGGATTGCTATAAAGAAGCATTGTGCATTGTGGCAGTTGATCTTAAAAATTCATATAGATTCATAGTCTCGGGCTGAAAAAAGAGGCTTAGCAATTATCTACCACCCCATCCCTCCTCCCATTTGAAGCTGGGTAGATGCATCCAGCAGCCTGGAAGAGGGCTATTCAACAGAATGAATATCTTGGCCAGATTATCCAGTTTATACTTGAGTATTCCTGTTTTATGAGGCAATCCAATCCACCACTGTACAATTCTGTTAAGAAGTTCTTATATTAAACAAATATTGTCTCTTGTTTTATTTTATTCTTATGCTCTCCAGCACCTTAGATAAAAAAATCTAATGCTTGTCCGGCTTGGAGGCATAGCCTTCAAATAATCATAGCTTGTTTGGTTGTTTCTCCTCCAGACTGAACATCCCCAGCTTCTTTGGCCATTTCTCTTTGGCCATACTTTTTTGATGAACATATTAGTCATTCTCTTCTTTATTCGCTTCAGTTTATCTTTTTCTCAAAAGACACAAGTTTTCCTTGTCTGGGTAAGACAGAACCACCTTCCTCCCTTCAGTTGATGAAGCTTAGGAAGTTCTTCATTGGTGCCCTTTTTTTTTTCTTTTTTGAGACAGAGTCTCTCTCTGTTGCCCAGGCTGGAGTGCAGTGGCACGATCTCAGCTCACTGCAACCTCCGCCTCCTGGGTTCAAGCCATTCTGTGCCTCAGCCTCCTGAGTAGCTGGGATTACAGGTGCCTGCCACCACACCTGGCTAATTTTTTTTGTATTTTCAGTAGAGATGAGGTTTCACCATCTTGGCCAGGCTGGTCTTGAACTCCTGACCTTGTGATCCACGCCTCTGCCTCCCAAAGTGTTGGGATTACGGATTACAGGTGTGAGCCACTGTGCCCAGCATTTTTTTTTTTTTTTTTTGAGATAGCGTCATTGCACTCTTCAGGCCGAGTGCAATGGTGTGATCATGGCTCACTGCAGCCTCCATCTCCCAGGCTCAAGTCCTCTCTCCTCAGCCTCCTGAATAACTGGGATGCGGCTTCTTTATTCTCCGTAGTTCACGTGAGATTCGGTTTGCTAAATCCCTGAAGTATTTTCCTAGGTTGCTGTCACTTAACTGTGTTACTCCCAACTCCCTTGCAACATGTGCTTTTGGAATTGGCTTTTTGAAGGCAGGAGTAGTTAGGTAGATGTCACCCCAAATTGGTACAAGTTGAAAGCTTCAGATGACTGGGCAGGTGAATGGAGCCTTCAGTGCAGTAACTGGTGTTTGCCAAGTTTTTACTGTGTTTGAAACTTTGAAATAGATACCATACAGTGGACTGAGTGAGACCTTAAGGACAGGGAGTCTGCCCTTGAGGAATTCTTTCAGTCTGTTTTTGAGGAAATAAAAATAAAGGCTTGAAATGAGTTACCAAACCCTGTGCCAGGGTGTAAGATGAAGTGGAGGCACTGTCGGCTCGTATAGGTTGGAAGGAAAACAGCAGTGAATGAGACTGATCGGGAGAGGGCTGACAGAGGATACTGTTGGTGTGAGAAACGGCAGAGAGGGTAAAACAGTGTTTCCCAAACTTTAGTCATTTGCACACGTCCTTCATGATTTTTACCATATTATATATCTCCTGTGCTAATAACTACCTAATATTTGTCTTCAAATTGACCTGCTTTAAAAAAAAAAAAAAAAAGGCTAGGTACAATAGCTTATCCCTGTAATCCCATCACTTTGGGAGGCCAAGGCAGAAGAATTGCTTGAGTCCAGGAGTTTGAGACCAGCCTGGGCAACATAGTGAAACCTCGTCTGTACAAAAAGTGAAGAAAATTAGCCAGGCGTGGTGGTGCATGCCTGTAGTCCCAGCTTCTGGGGA